GGTGGTGGTGGTAGTGCTGTTGCTATTGTTGTCGTTGTTGTTGCTTTTGTTGTTGCTGTTGTTGTGGTTGTTGTTGGTGTTGTTGTTGGTGGTGTTGTTGTTGTTGGTGTTGTTGTTGTTGGTGTTGGTGGTGGTGATGTTGATGTGGTTGTTGTTGTTGGCCAAACCGCACTAAGATGGATACATGCAATGGCCCAGCAGAAAGACAGATGAACATTGTTCAAATACGGGAATGGAACTCGGGCCATCTGCGTAGATATATGAAAGAACTTACTCGCGTGTACACGTGACTCTACGTTTGTATGTAAAAACAGCGGTTAGTATAACGTTACATCTTTCTGACAGTGTAGCATTTCCTAGGACCCCCTCCCTTCCACCTCCTCCTCCCCAAACCTATAATATATACCGAAAAATAAGGTCCCCCCCCCCCCCGCTCCTCCCTAGGACAAAGCAAAAAGCAAACAAACCTAAAGGGGGAAAAAAGTGATCACACAAGTATCATCCACCTCCCAATCTTCCTTGTAAAATATGCTCACCATATTATATCGTTGTAACTCCGATCATATTTTAGGAAACAGATTGTCTCGATCCACTCTGTCAGGCCAACGCGGTACATAGCATTCGAGCAGACAGACGGATAAAAGCGTTAAACATTAATAACCCCACATTTGGGGATCAAACGTACGTCTTCTGTGTGAAAAATGCATGGACCGTGTTTTGAAATGAATCCTCTATTGAAACCCTTTTTTTGAAAGTGAAAAACGCGGATAATTTCAGAAATCCGGACTTTATTTTCGGATACCAAAGACGTTTTTTAAAAGTGAAAAATGCGAAAATTTTCAGAAATCCGGACTTTATTTTCGGATCTCCAGATTTCATTCTATCTTTGTAATAAAAGTAAGATTTGTATGCCACTTGCAACACAATTAGGTCATGCAAGTATCGAAGATTAGAGGTTCTACAAGAGAGTAACAATCAATTTTTAAAAAACCAACAGAAACAGGAGAAATAAGGACGACAGAAGTTTGACAGGAAAGATGGAACAAACCACACAACAGCACAGGGTAACCACTCTCTCATTTTATCAAAGCCAGGGAGGTCAATATTGTTACTACTTAGGCTTCTGTAAGTCCTGATCAAGGTCCTAATTTTAACCCGACTTTCTTAACTCTCATTTTCCCTTTCAATGGTAAAGCTTATTTGTTACCATTTCTACAACACTTATACCAACGTCAATAGTTTGTTTTAGTAAGTGTTTTACGGCACTTGAAACACAGGTCATAAGAGTGCCGAAGATTAGAGGAGTTACAAGAGAGTAACATACACAAAAAAGAAGGAGGGGAGATAAGGACAGCAGATGTTTGACAGGAAAGTAGGAGCAAACCACAAACCAGAGCACCCGCCAACCACCTACGTCAATAGTTTATTGTTCTGCAGGGTTACAAACATCAATAATGCCACCGATGCCAAAGGCTTACTTTTATTAGTATAAGAACTAAAATATCGACGTTACTACTAAAAATCAATAGATAGTTTTACAGTGCTGACAATCTGCTTCACGATTTAACACCAACTTATACAGCCACGAAAGTCAGTGAGCACGACAGCATACACCAAGCAAAACACTTGGGACTGTTTTTGTGTTTGGTTTGTTGGTTGTTTTTCGTTGTTGCTTTTTTTTGGGGGGGGGAGGGGTTTGTTGGTTGTTCTTTTTTGGTTGTTTTGTTCTTGTGTTTTTGTTCGGTTTTTTTTTGTTTCATTGTTTTGTTGTTGTTTTATTGGTCTTTTTTTCTTTTT